AGGGAGTCCACCCTGGGCCAGTGAGGGCATGCAGCAAGCACAAAGAACTGGAATCAGCTCTCCCAAAGTAATGTCATGGTTTCCCTCAGAGATACCCCTCATAGGAGCCAAGTCAGAAGAGAAGGAGAGATGTAAGAAGCAAAGGCTGGGGTCCACAGGCGTGGGAGTCAGTACCTGTACCATGGCTCCAGGCACAAGCTGGGGTTCATCTTCCACAGCAACGGCAATGGGGGAAGTGGTGCTCTGTTCCAGTGCCTCGCTTGAGCATTCCAAACCCACCCATGCCCCTGGGGAAGGAAAGACCAGTCAAATGCTGGCCCTCACTGAGGCAGCATCTGACCAGCCAGCTTTGAGTGGCATGAAATAACAATTTTGCAGCAGCAGAAAGCTTCTACTCTTGGCTCTCTCCATCTTTGCCGGACACCCACCAAAACAAACCAGTATGGGACTGCTTTTCTCTTTTCTGCCTGCTGCCAGGGCAGAAAGAGTCCACACACATCACTCACCTAGCTCAATGGTAACATCTCCTTCGGTCATGTCAGACCTCACACTTTCCAGTGCAGGCCAGTCCTGGTGAAGGGAGTAGTTATGATCAACCTGCACAATGTCTCGGCTGGCAAAATTGCTACCAAGGCAATGGGACACGTGCTGATCCTCAGAAATGCTGCTGTCATTGTTGGCAGGCAAATAACTGAGCCTGTCTGGTTCATCTTCTAAAGGGCTCAGCAGTGAGCTGATGAAGTCATCCATCTCCTTGTCCAGGAGCTGCAGAAGAACAGCTTTTACTCAGCATGGAGACAAACCTCCTAAACCTCAGCTCAGCAGCAATTCCTCACAGAGAACTCACCTCAGGCATTGGCAGGCCCCAGTCTTCCAGCAGACCATTCTGCTCCCTGGGGATTTCAGGGCAGGGAGCATCATCCTTCAGAAGGAAGTCAAGCAGATCCACATCTGCCAGGGCATCCAGTTCTTCCGGGCACGACATCTGAGCACGACACCCAAAGTGAGCCAGGCACAACAGGAGACACCAGCCTTGCTTTGAGGTGTCCCTCAGACCCTACAGATGAAGCATCCCCATGCAGTGTCAACAGCAGGGATGGCCAGTTCACAAGTACTTCTCCAGACAGATTACTATAGCACCACCAGTGACAACAACACAGCATTTTCCTCACTAGGTTAATTGGGACCCAGGCACAAGAGCCACGCTCCACCCAGAGCACAAAAGCTGCAGGAAGTAGAGGAAAAGTGAAACAATCCCAGACTTAATGGTGTGGAACAGCAGAATCTTGAAAAGCTGCAGGAAGTAGAGGAAAAGTGAAACAATCCCAGACTTAATGGTGTGGAACAGCAGAATCTTGCATGCTCTCCACAGAAGCCTGAAGGTGCCATACCCCCTGCTGTGCAGCCAGCAGGGAGAGCTCCCTGTCCCACAAAAATTAAGAACAGTTGTTGTTGAGGTTTTAACTAAAGGGATTCTGTTAATGATTAAATTATGATCAAAGTCTAAGTAATCGATGACTGAACAAAAATTAAATGGCAATCAAATGGTGATTAAGAGATCATTGAAGAGTAATTAATGAATGATTTCACAGACCTAAATGATGACTTAGCAATTCAGACAGCTATTCAACACTGTGTTATTCAACACACTTGTAATAAATCAGTGGGTATTGTAATAAATAAATAGATGGATATATATAAACGTCACTAGCACACAGTATACCTTTAGGCTGAAAATAAAATATTCCTTACCTCGCTGTAGAGATCAGACACTGGTAAGGAGTCTCTCAGCCCTGCGGAGTGACCTGGAGAGCTGCTCCTGCTGCCGGGCCCAGCAGCAGGGGAGCAGCAGAGCTCAGTGGCTGGAGGCGGCCGCAGGCTCCGGGAGGGCAGGGTGAGGGCCCTGCAGCCAAACACTGCCCGGCGCTGGTGCACCCGCGGGGCTGCGGCAGCTTCAGCTGCGTGTGGCCCCAGCTCGGGCTGCTGCTGCTATGTGCTGACAGGACACGGCCCGGGAGCCCCGGTCCCTGAGGAGATGCGGGCTCGCATGGCTCCCAGCGGATCAGCCCGGCCGGCCCGCGGGCGATGCCTG